AAAACATGGATCAGACTCCATTAGTGTCTGAGAAAATGTATTTTTTTAAAAAATATGTGAGAAGCTCTGTAATGTGTTGAGGATAATATTGGTTATACTGTACCTTTTAAATGGGGTCCTGAGGAAAATAAAAGATAGGTATTAAGTGCTGCCAATAATTATCTTCCCGTGCTGACACTAACCCATTTCCATCATTGTGGATTGCCAAGGGGGAAAGTGCCTCTTTTTCTGGCACCATTGCTTCCAGCTTAAAAACATTGGAACGTCAAGGATACAGTTACCACTGATAGAAAGACAGCAAATGTAATAAAGCAAAATGAAGTCTGAGTAAAGAGAATGGTTAACCAAGTTCTTTGCTGGAGCTCTCGTTTTTCACTCGTTCACTTCTTTATAAATTGCAGCTTTTATATATGTAAAAAATAATATATGTTGTGCTCAATAAGTTGACGAGAGCCCAGACTGTCTCAACACTAACCTCATCAGAGTGTTTCCTTCTGCACTAGGACACATTCTTCCCCTTTCCCACATCATGTCTTTGTGGTTGGGATTGCTAATTACTGATGAATTCCACGCTGCTAATTCACAGTCACTGCGAATTGGATTGAAAGGATTCTGCAGACAGGATGGACTTACTTCAAGTCATTCTGAGTTGGATTTAAACTCAGACCCCAGAGGCAAAAGGATCACTTATTGAAGCACTACACCATTCAGTGCCATTCAGTGCCTCAACACGATATCTTTCTTAACATAATGAGATGAACTGGAATGGTCTTTTCCTATCCCATGATCTCTTATGTTCTTACAGTGTCATTATATTACATTGATTGCAGTCTCTGAGCAGGCAAAGGCATGGATTTTTTCTCCTGCACAAATGGGTACAGTTATTAAAGAAGATTGTCAGACTGCAAAACATCTTCCAGTGTAGGCAAGTCCAGCTGAATAGGATGTGATCCCTATTCCAAAGCTTTTTGAAATAATTGCATATTGATGGGATTGATTGACTCCGCAACAGGACTAAGCTATCGAGTACGTATACACATTGTATTGTTTTCCATTTATTCAGTAACAGAAATGCTGGTAACATCAGTAACAGTCATACAATGATGTCTTGACCGTCTTTGTCATCTTGTCAATGAAGTCAAATCACCTCGACCACCCTCAGCATGAGCTGAGAATGATAAATGAGTTTGACTCTTCCAAAATTAAAATTGACTGTGCACCCAAAAAAATACTATTCACCCTTGTATCTTTTGCAAAAAATATTAAAGACATTAATGAGAGTACCGCGAAACTACCAGAACAGGAAATCTGAAATTGCCTAGGTTTTACTTCCTGTGTTAAAAGTTCACGTGGAAATGCTTTCTTTATCTCTAGAAAGCTGAGCTGTTTAAACCCTTCTCCTCCCACAAGCATGTGATGGGAGTAAACTGTTATAAGTGTTCCGGTTCTGTAATTGCTAATAATTTCTGTGATAGGTTTTCCCCTCCCCCCGCCCAACTACAATCAGCGCAGATAGATATTTTAGACTGAATTGAGTTATCACCTAATTGGTTTGAATCCCTTAGGCAGACTCGTGAGTTCTCTGCTATGTGAAAAATAACTTATGGACATGATCCAGAAAGAAAACATCGTCTTCTTTTAATTCAATTTCACCCCAGATGTATCAGCCACAGTTTTCTTGAATATACTGTATTTATGCGAAGGAAAATATTTTTAATACTGCCTGCATTTGATATAGCATCTTATCACGTTGAGCCATCTCAAAGCGCATCACAGGATCTTTTTTCGTCAGCCAGGTGTCTGACATATGTGGAAACCCATCACTGTGCTTAAGAGTATCCAAACCCAAGCTGAGATTTCCATGCATCCCACCTACACATGGAAATCCTAAAGACAGAATATTGGAATGGAATGGAATGGCACTCTCTCCCTGGAGGGATGAATCCTACTTATCTAATTCCAGAAAGTATTGCAATATAAACAGTTAGCCTTTAAAAGAAAACTTATAAATTTGGATTGTAATATTGTAATGCATCAGGAACTTCATGTGTTATGGGGATTTTTATTTTGTATCTAGAGTTGTGGTACCCACTGTGTACCTTCTAATTAAGTAGCTTCAAACTGTGAGACCCTGGATTCATTTCACTACTGGTTTTAAACTCCTGGAACAATTAGTCAGAGCTTCCAATAGTGACAATGTTTTGAGAGGAAAACAACATTTATATCTCCCGCTTGGAATCCCATTGGCAGGAGCTCACAAGAGGTCTGTCTGAATGTTGAAAGTAAACACATAAGCAAAGCCTATGCCAAGTGACACTTATGTTTTTAATATATAATAATTTTTGCACTTGATATAGCACCATATTACATTGTCGATTCGTCTGAAAAATTATTTGCACTACACAGGAGACGAATGCTGCTTTGTACTTTGTGCACAGCAGTGGCCCACAAACAGCCATGATGTGAATGACTAATTTTATCTGGAGGATTCTTGGCCAGGATCCCGGGAGAAATACCCTTCTCTTTTCCAATCATGCAATAGGATCTTTAATGTCCGCGTGATAAGGCAGATGAGGCCTGTTTTTAATACATTCATGATTGTGCAAGGGGCTCTTTAATAACGTTAAGAAGCTTTAGGGCAATGAAATGTACCATCCATGAAACTGTAAGGCTTGGTTAGTAGTGCTCTCTCCCTTGGGTCAGAAGGTTCTGGTTTTAAGGCCCATGTCAAGATCATTGTTCAGACTGAAACTTCAATTCGGAGAACACAACATTCTTCCTGTCCTTCAAATGAGACTTTAAACCAAGTTTGCTTGTTTAGGTGGATGTTAAAGATCTTATGACGCTACTTCAAAAGGGAAAGTAGTTTCTTTTCAGTATTCTGTCCAACAATTCTCCAGTTTAATTGATTATTCCTTTAATGGCTACTTGTGAGACCTTGCTGTTTGTAAATTAGTTGTATCATTTGTCTCAAAAAGCAGTTACTACACTTTGTATCTGCTACCTGTAAAAGCACTTTCAGACATTTCAACATCCATTAAATGCAAACGTTATTTATGATTTAAATTTAAAAATGAAAACTTCTGAGCTGAGCTTAGAAGCAACACTAACTGTGCCATAAGTGGGAGATTAAAAAAAGAATATTCTTGAAAACATCAGTGTGTAAAGTGGTTGTTCTTGCACTGCAACCTTTTGTGTTAATAACTAAGAAAATACCTTCATTGGATTTTCAGCATTGATGAATTGTCTCAAGAGGTTTTTGTGCTTTGGTATCCATATATGGCTATAAACACTGAACAAATTGCAAATACAGCATTGTATTTTCATAAGATTTTACAATGCCTTTGATATTGTCAGACCGAGGAATAATGGGAGAGAGTGTGTGGAGGTCAAACTGCACTTACAAACACTTAACCCTCTTGTTTAAGCAGACACAATGAAATCTCCTGGGCACCCTGCATAATTGTTTTCACATAAGTAAAACAAATATGATATTCCACTGATCTCATTTACACTAATATTAGAGCAGAGTGAGTCATGAATTTAGAAATAAAAGCCAGTTTGGGCTGATCATTGGAGGCTTGTCGCTCAAATATACCTTTGTTAAAAAGATTGATATAGTATTACTTATAAATAATACTGAGCTGTGCTGTCATTACTGTATTACTGTATCAACAGCAGTGAGGAAATATCCCAGTTTCCTGATAAAGGGTTGGCTTTCTTTATTTTTACCAGTGATGAATTTAGCTAAGTACTAACAGACTTTTCGTTTTGCTAGAAATATTTGCACATCTGTCTTTCCCATAATATAGTATTTGACTAGCTGAATCAGTACATCTGGTTTCATAAATGGAGAATTTCACTGGTTCTTGCTTTTTTTTGTTGTTGTCGTTACAACTTTTGAGAACCTCCACACAATTGACAAGGTATGAGTCATTTTAACTGACCCAACCCTCTTCCTTCATAAATTGCTGTAAATCAGCATTGCATCACCCTCGCCTGTGTGGAGTAATGTAAATGAAACGTTTTTTTTAAAAAAAAATCTAACGCTTGATGACGCATAAAACCCAGCTGCATCCAGTACCGTGCATTCCTGGCACTATTCAGTGGTTTCATTTTGATGCCATCTGTTGGGAGATGTTGGCGATGTCCACCAGCCTCTTACAATGTGCCTGGCCATCAGAAAGTGAAACTGGGCTCAGTCAGAAGTGCTTCTCTCAACAGTTTTCGATCAAGATTTTATTAAAAAAATAAACTTTCGGAAGAAATCTCATTTGAGCTGTGCTGCCATTATTTAAACCAACTGTGTATGTATGTCTGATGTATCTGTGGACTGCATTAAGATAATGTCTCTGTAATCTACCTTGGGGGGATTTGAAGGGGGATGGGTGAGGGGGGGGAATGGGGGAGAAGAGAGAGAGAGAGAGCAGGACGGGGAGGGTGGAAGGGAAGGAGGAGCAGCATCTCTTTGGTTTACGTCACTCCACCACATCTGCTCGTCTGAAATAAATGAATGCAGAGCTGCAGCAATGCTATAACTGAGGTCTTCAAAAAAAACTCAGTCAGGATATATTGGCAAGCATTTATCATTCCACATAATTACTCACACACGGATGTCTGCTTTATTGTGAAAAAAACCTTGTTTGCCCACATTTTATTCACTAAAATTACTATTCCCTTCCTGCTAAAGGTGTGTGTGTTTTTTTAATAGTTACATTGCTGCAATGTTCAATTCCCACTGAGGAGACTACAGTGCTTATTTCATCTCCTCCCTCCCTGATTGACATTCTTACTTTGGTATTTCCCTGCAAGGGAGTTTTTGCCAGCTTCGGTTGACTCATGTGGGAGAGGAGAAACCGCATTGAATCACAGAGTGGATATTAGAGATGCAGATGTGAATGCAACCCTCTGTGTTGGTTGTTTAGGATGCAGAAAGTGTGATGTAAAGTGCGACGCTCTTCCCCCTAGCCGCTTGGGTTCAACCACAAGAAATTTCAGAAGAAATGTAAAACATTTTATTTTTAGAGTCTGATCTCCATTGACTGGTTGTACAAAAAGGTTTGGCACAATAGAGACTCTGAACGGCTTAGATTTGACAGAAAATCATCAAATTTGGTGAACTTCATGCTTGAATGTCTGAAACAAAACGAGGCTGTGTCATTTTTTTTCTCTGAAGGTAATTTCTGCGAGCTGGAGACTTTGACACAAATGAGGAAATGTAACTTTCAATTTCTATTAAAACTTATTTTCAATTTCCTGTGGTCTATAAAGGGAGCTGATGAAACCTGCGCCATGTAGATTAATTAACACATTGAATCTGTTAAGAAGAGTCACAATTTTCAGCATATTACACTTACCCGTGTGTAGGCCCCTATATAAATGCAAGTTGGTGTTGTTGTTGATTAGGTCAGGCTTTCCAAAATATGATGGGATCTAAACTAATGTTTTCACATGAAGTAACCAAAATACATCACAGGAACTGACTGTACTGCTTCCAAATTTTTCAAATCAATTCAATCCTGAACAATATCTTTTTTTAAAATATCCTTTTTTGCTATGTATTGTGTGCTGTGGATACAAGTGCAATATTTTGGTATGGTCCTCCATTTCGGAACGCAACGGCATAGATTCTGCGATAGGCATTCCTGCAAAATAAAAATGTATTGAAAATGTTTGAGCTGTATTTTGTTCGGCTAACAATGCCTCACTCTACGTTAAGGCACAGCAGGCTGGAATAAGGTGGTAAGAGCATGGGGTCTCAAGCACAAATCACGGCTCATGATCTTGGTAAGGCTGCCAAATAGGTGGCAAATAGAGGCCAAAGTGGAGTGGGAAGAGCGACTAATATAATATACTGACTGCAGCAAAGAATAATCTACGCATCTTCGCAATTGTGAATGCATGGACATACAAACATTCATACATCTATTTAAATGAGCCTCAAAGAAGCATCAAGGATTGTGTTTATGTACTTTACAGTCAGCAACAGTGCAGCAGTCACCTTACATCTCTGATACAGGAGGGAGGTATATAATGAAATAAGAGGTGGAGTGGTGGCTTAGATGCTGTCTGGTTCAACACACAAGCCATGGGGTGGTTTATATTTAAACCTGCAACCTAGGTGACATATTGTGTCATTTCCAGTCTGATATTTGTCACTTCTGATTATGTCACCAGATGGAACACACAATGTGGCGGCAGAGCATCTTAACAAAGGCACAAAGCAGTTAGTTTGGACTCTGAGCAGGTAGGATAGGACAGGAACAGGATCACATTCAAGGGAAAAGAGCTGCAAAATGTAGTCGGAACAAGATGACAATTTTTAAAACATCAAATGTATTTTATGTGGGGACTCCAGTTTCGTGTGTGTGTGACATATGATAGAATACAATTAGAGTGGGAGATTCAGAAAAGTCCCTAGAAGCATGTCACTTTCAATGTCCAGACAAAACAGTCACCAGATTGTTTCACTGAACATTTTCCTTCCTTCTTTTATCTTAGTCTATCATCTTGAGCTGATATCTATTAGTGCCATTAAACCTCAGTCCGTGGAAATGGCTCATAATTAAAGTTGGACAAAATCAGCTATAAAGTAATAATATATTTTTAAATAGATCTCAATCTTTGAGCACCCATCTGCAGACTGCTGAACTGCAGTCCTCTGTAACACTTATCTCACAGTAAAGGTGGGATATAGGTTTAAACCACAACTCCACTGGGTTTACAATCAGAACCACACTGTTAAGCGTTACTGGATGCCTCTTGATTTAGGAGAGGTAGTGGTATTGCAGGACCATTGTTATGTGCCTCCTTGCAACAAGCTCTAGAGCAGAACATTGGAAGAGGTCTGAGAGTAGCAGACCCACCCTCTGTGTAGCATTGCGCACAAACACTGCAGCAGAGGACAAAAACAGGGAGGAATTAAGAAGTTCACCGACAAATATACAGTCAATTCACTTTACAGTATATTCTGTGAAGCGCTTTGGGACGTCTAGAAGACGTGAAAAGCGCTATATCAAATGCAAGGATTATTATTATTATTATAAGAAGAGAGTATGCACTGAAAATAACTGAGGCTCAAAGGTGCCAATTATGACTCCTGCAAGTGATTGTGGAGGTCAGAACTAAACTGATCTTTATTAAGCCAGTCCAGAAAAAGATAGTTATGATCAAGGTTCCAGATACATAGATAACTGCGCCACAAAGTAAATTGTCCTTATACTTTAACACTCATCTGTTGAAATTATTTAATCTATCCTCCCCATTTCAGATACATGGTAAAAATGATTGAATCAAGGAAGTGCTGACCTGCTAACTTCTGTTTTTGACTAACCTCATCCCTGAGCCTTTGCAATGTCCTACATTATAGTTGTACTGACTAAGACAGTGAACTACGTCAGCATTGTAAATTCAAATTAAGTTACCTTTTCATTATCATATATTTGACCAGCTACTGAATATTTGTAAAATTCTCGATGTGTTTTTCCCTAAAGCATGGGTCAGCCTGGTTCATTGGTAATGCTCTCTCCTATGAGTCAGCAGGTTGTGGGTCCAAATCCCATGTCGGGACTTGATCTCCCATAGTCTAAGATGATACTGCAATGCAGAGCTGGGTGGGTGTTGCATTATTGTACCTGGTAAAGCTCTTTCTATGTGACAACAAAAATTCAATAGACCTCCTGCATTAAGTACCAATTTACAGATTGCAGAACCTCTACACAAAGAAGGTGACATGCTACCAACATATTGTCCTATAGTATCAAAAGCAAGTGGGAAATGAAACAGTTTATTTCAGGAAATAATGCTACAGACATTCCTTTTCATTAACCACATTTAAAGAAAGGATCTACACATGCAAAAGAAAACCAGAAGAAACCTGCCCTTAACTTCCCTTTAGAAGCTGACTGTTAAGAAAAAAATATTTTTATATAATTACCTCCAGCCATGCGATAAATTCAGCAATATGGTGAATGTTTTTATTCTACATGGTCTGATTGCATGGAATAGTGCAATTACTTCACAGTGTTTGCTGTAAGCAGCAACGCCAATGAAAGTAACCGAGGAAAGAATTTTACTGCTAGATGTAAATAATTTTCCACTTCAGTGTCCTTCTAATAGTTTCAGAGCGAATAAGTGATCAATCACAGCTTGGTACTGTAGTGGATTGTTTAAATTAATCCCACTGTAATCTTGTGTACTGGATAATCGTAGAATTAGATGCCACGGTGTTAAAAGTGCATTTAAATTTTACTATCCCAGTTTGTTGAGTTTGAAAATCAACCTGAAAATATTACTGATAATTGAATCTGTGCTATACATTTTGTGTCGCTTCTTTTTAGCATTTTGACCCAAGTTTTTGAAAATAAATAAATAAAAGGTGCTTGTGAATTGAAGTAAATCCTTTAAAGTAAACATATATAGTCATTCACATGCAATTTTAGACACAAAATCTAGCACTCGAAATGACAATCATTCGTTATTAGTATGCAAATCCTGAGCTACGAGTTTTGTTTCAATGCCTTTGAAAATTGTTTTAATGTTTTACTGCAGTGCAATAGGTAAGGGAATATAAGGTACACAGTTTTCCTTTTGCCCCTTTGCTCCATTGTGCAGCTTATTCATGCAAGCCTGCGTTGTAAATTCACAGGATTAGATGGATTGAGGGACTCATGGGAAACTCTAAAAATGACACCAGTTGACCTTGGATCTTGACCTGCTTGATACAGTAATAGTATCTGATCGGCGGCTTAATTTGCATTGAAAAGTCAATGAATTATAAGTTCAGACACTCTTTGACTTCCAATTGCTTGAACGAGTGATGTTAAACTATACCGTGGGCAGTGTACTGCACTTCATTTCCAGTTCAAGATAACCTGCTTAAAGAAGCCCTAGGAAATCATAATCATGGCATTTCAATTTTTTTTTAGAGGTAGAGTGGTCAATCCAGAGACGGACAGAACAGAACACATATGTGTGTTTAGACAGGAATTTCATAGAGGTGATCTTAAAGCACCATTAAGAATAGCTAGCCAGGATATTAAGGTGTTTTAGTGTTATAGTGAGGGTGGTTGAATATTTTGTAGGTATAGTTAAACTGTCTTCTTGATCAGAGACTATCTGTGCTGAACTTTATCGCAAAAAACAGAATGGATGGAGTCTGCAATATGGTACTTTTGCATGGAAGGAATGGGTGTGATGGGGTCAATAACTTCTTTAGTCCATGCGTTTTGTATAGTCTTTGTCCTTGTGCTACTTATACATTTTAGAGATGTTCTAAAATCAAATAATCATTCCTCATCATGGAAACACTTTCCAGTGTGAGCAGGGATTTAACTACAGCACGAATAGTATCAAAGGGTGTAATCTCTAGGAGCCAGACTGTAATTTTCTTGTATTGTGTGAGTACTGTGAATAAAATGAATGTAATGGAGCAGTTCATTGAAGAATATGTGTCTTCCATCTTACATATGTTAATGCCAGTAAAACATTGGTACTCGCTCTTGAATTTACCTGATGCAAGTTTTGAATCTCTATCGTAGCAAACATCCTAATGTCAGGCAAAATGAAGGTACACTAACATTTGTTTCTGGACCCATCCTAAATGAAGCTGCAATAGTGGAGCTCATTGTGCTAATATTCCGATAGGTTTCCACATCACTGGCCTTTGCTGTCTGCAGACTCACAGCACAGATCAAAGCTCACTGTTATCTGGTATGATACCTGTTTACATTGCAGCAAAAAAATCTTAACAGTAGAAAGCCCACGACCGAGGTTAGCCTCCCAGCCGTTTATCCATATTGGTGCATTTTAACATGTAATGGGAATCATGACAATAATTTTGTTGGGCCTAATATGGATACAAATAGATCATTGGCATATAAGCATAGTTGCTTACAGTAATTACTTCAACAGCTGCAGTAGGAGAGATTGTGAAGCAAAATAAAATTTGGAGCCACAGTACCTCTCTCCAGAAAGGCATTGTCTGAAGTCAAAGCATCTGTGTTAACAGTTTCTAAATGATTTTTAGGTGGGATCCTAACCACAAATCATCGCAATGGCACATACCCTTCATGGAATTTTTTTTAACAAGCCTATGGGGAGAGAGGAAGCCAAAGGGGTTGGATCACAAGCTATTTATTCCATACAGCCATATTTCAATATGAATCATATTGTGTGTACTTAAATCAAGAGAAAAAAAACACGGTTTGCTTAACCATTTCAGGAAGACAGCGCCCCTTTAAAGAATTCCAATATATATGAGGTTGTGATCCTTTCTGGGAATCTACCATCAACTTATTCCAGAATACTTACATTTAATCCCAACAGTTGTGTGCCCCAAGGCCCTTGAGGCGAAGAGATGTATGTCTCTTCCTCGCAATTCTGAAGCGTTCCATTACAGTTCCTTCATTTAGTTCTGCTTGTGTTTTTGTGTCAAATATTCTTACTCATGCTTAAATCTTCAACGTGGACCAGTTTCCCTCCCTCTCTCCCAACCTCTCTCCTTCCAACTCTATTAGCAAAGCTGCGTTTTTACATTTGAGATCAAAGGCACAAGGTTATCACTGGATCTATTAGATCTTTAAAAATAAAGATACCACAGGAATCGTGAATGTGCAGAGAATGAGGATTTTATTTACAATGTTGATTCTCTATAACAGAGACGGCCCTTTCCCTTCTCACTCCTTCCCAAACATCCTATGAGGTACAAGCACTACAACTCAAGAACCTTGGACTCCAGTTATTCTTTATAAATTAGCAGTGAATAAGAAGTAGCTATGAGTTTATTAATTACTACAGCGCCATAAGTATAATGTTCTTCCATCCAGTAGCTTAGACACCAAGAGAAACTCCTTCTCTTTCAAACAAGCGCCATCTTCAGCATCCTCTTGTGCTCCGAGACACTGCCCCACGTGAAGGGCACTACATAAAAGTTGTTGTTGCCATTATGTCAAATTGCACATCACAGAGCAGACAAAAGCAAAAATAATTCCTTCACAGCAATATTTTGGTAACTTTGAATATCTCTTCGACATGTTTTCAAGTGAGGCATCAAAGATATTTTTACACATATATCTCCTTACTCATTGACATGTGAGAAAGACTGCTGGCCTAGGTTCCAGTATGTTGCCCTGCTCTGTCTCTCTCTCGCTCTCCTTTGGCTTTGCTTGTAGCGTGTCTGACGACACCACATGGATTGCTCAAACTCCAGCATATGATCTTTGCAACCAAGGTCAATGCAGGTAACTTTCATGTTATTATCAAGCAAAAAGTAATAGAGCAAATTATTAACTCGATGGAATGTTAACAGGTTTACAATAATACACCAGCATACTAATGATTACTGGATTCATGAACTTGTATATTATATAGAGCATCATATACTACAAACTTCACTACAGAGCACAGAGTGGATGGGTATTTCAAAAAGGACAATAAAAAGAATGCCCAGAGTCAAACTATTGGGGTGTGTAGGAATGATACAACATATCAATGTTACGTTTACCTTGGAAATACCTGAGTAACTGAGTGGACTTTAGATTAAGTCTGGAACCATGCTGTTGTTACGATTAAGGCACTATCAGCAAAAGACTCTGCTCCTAAGTGTATAATTTGAATGAACTGTTCTCACCCACCTGTAACATGCAGTAAACGCTAAGACTGGAGCTGTAAAGAGTAAAGGAGACTAAAGGTTGAAATATAATATTTTTGCTAAGATTTATTCACACCAATAAATACATAAGAAATATACTTTTTTGACCACTGACAAAATTCTTACCCAGTGGGTGTTATAGAGAGAGAGAGACCCAATTTAAGATGACTGTACAGAGAGACAGAAAGAATTGGAGTTGTGCTAACTATAACCTTTTTAAATTCTGCTTAAAATCGAAGGAATTATGCCGTTTTAAAAGATTTGTTTGGAGTGGAAATCCAAAAGATCAAAGCATTGTGTGTGGCTGCAGCTTTGAATTCCACTCTGCTTTTAATTACTGAATTAGAATCTGGGTGAGGACTTGGGGGAGTAATAATAATAATACTAATAATCCTTGCATTTGATATATTTGATATCACACCGGTGAGACGTCTCAAAGCGCTTCACAGAATAGATTGTAAAGTGACTGTGTATTTTTGTGGGCAAGAAGAGAATACATGTTGGATGCTTGATTTTCATTAGTGTCGTACACGTTCTGAGACGCTGCCCTGGGTGGAAAGTGTTATATAAGCGCAAGTTGTTGTTGTTGGTGCCACGTGACCATTTTGAAAAGTCCAGTCAAATTTCCTAACCATTCCCTTCAGGCACAGCATGCTGCTCAGAGCAGTTCTTTTCACTCACTTCCTTAGCAACATCGAAAGAAAACAAATCCATGCAAAAAGGACAATGAGCACAGTGCACCATCAGAACATGTCTCCATGGTTCCATGCACCACCACGACTTCAACACAAGCCATTGTCAAATGCAGTGGTTTTCCTATTTTCTTGATATGACATGTATCCAATGCACAGATTCCAGCTGAATACAGTGGTACATTCAAAGCTTTGCTGGTTATGTATTATTTTTTCAGGGTCGCTTCTCAGATTAAAGCTACCCAATGTTTGTTTGCAGGTACATGTCTTACTCCTGTCAAGCAACAGAGAAGTAAGAATAAGAAGGCTAATTCCCAGTGCACAAAATAACATCACCTCAATATGGTGACTGATATAGTATTTTTTAAAGATACAATGCCATTGCTTTGTCCTGTCTACAAAATTAGTTTTGTTGTGGGGCCTATAGCTTTAACGATAGTAGTTCCCTTTCGGAGTGAAACGCTCAGTTCACTTGTGTAGGACTGTATTTACATAAGGCTTTCACATGGGAGTTGGTTCCCTCTGGGCAGAAAGAGCACTGCGTAAACTATGGTGCGTAGAAACACGTAGACTGTGTTGCTGCTTTCATTGAAGGTGGGTCTATATACCACCTGTGGGAGGAAGAAAGGACTTCATTAGTTCTGGCAATCGGAAAACAAACAGACAAAGAAAGCAGCAGTAGAAAGCGAGAACTATTCGAAGGCAGCTTCTTTTCCTATATAAGTCTTCTTATTAAAATAAATCACACTGACAGCCAACTACCAGGATTGCTTATTAATTAACCTAAATTCAAAACCAACAAATTTGCATGTCACCGTGACACTCAAAAGAGAATTGTCCTCGGGAATTTCTGACTTGCAAGCCAGAATATCTGTGTATGAACAAGACACATGTTTCACCAAAATGGCAGCATCTGCAACCAACCCTTGTAATTGTCTCAATAACTGGTTTTGTACCTATTCAGAGTTGTGAAAAACAGTGGACTCTCAAGATACAGAAATACTGCCTTGTAAAGAAAATATCCCTTTTAAGGACCACATATGCCAATTGTGGTACAAGAGAAGCAAAACCACATGGTTTTATGAAGATTTCTGATAGTTTTCAAAATTGAAACTCTGGGTTGAATGTCAATGCCTGTGAAGGCAGGAATGTTAATAACATGGTGGGGCTGTGCTGTTTCATGGAGTTACCTGATTCCGAACTTGACTTTCTGAACTAACATTCATCCGATTACACACTCCTCTCATCAGACACATTTCTCACATTGCTCACTTGATTTGTGATTCTTAACTCCCACAGTTAAATTTGTCCAACTGCTACAGGCAATAACAGCTAAATGCAGCTACCTAACCCATCAGACTACAGCATGTCAAACATCCTTTCATGCTGGAAGACTTGGGGCTTTTGCACAAACAATGACATTCATGTCTTTCCACAGCCCACTGATTACACAAATTTGCTATTGGTCCCTTGGTGCATTTCTCCACTAATTTGCTGAGAAATGTCAGTGCCAAAAAGCTAACTGGTTCACTGAAGACAAAGAGCACACATTTCATAACGTGATGCACAAATAAGGTAAAGGCAATGTGACTGATGTTAAAAATATCTTTCGTTTAATTAGTTTAATGCTTAATGAGATGAAATTATATTTATGCATAGCGTAGTTTACTCAAATAAATTTTAGCAATGAATAACACAGAAGAGCTTGCATTTGTATAATGCCTGTCACATCAGATGTCTCAAAGCTCTTCACAATAAACACTGTCAGGTATAATGACTGCTTTTTTGTAGGCAAATTCTCCTCTTTTATTCATAAATTGATGCTCCCTAGTTACCGACTCACTGACCAGTAGAAATAATTTCTCTCTATCAACTCTATCAAAATCCCTCATAATCTTAAAGACCTTGATCAGGGTCTACCCTCAATCTTCTCGGTTCCAGTGAAAATAGGTCCAGTTCCTCCTGTCTCTCCTCAGAGATGAAACATTCATCCCGTGATGCCCATCCACCCCAAGGTCTTGAAAGAGATTTCCATTCTCTGAGCTAATTTTGTCACCCCCATGAATTGACGATGGTTGTTTGCAATACTTCAAACATCAAACATGGGTTTATTGCGATCAACAGCATCATGATGGAAAATTCCTGGTAACACCCCAGTAAATCATCCTCATAATCTGTATCTTGATGATTGTACTATTACTAGGTATCCTGAATGACATATTGGAAGTAACCACCTTATTCAGAGTTAAAGACAAATTTTAGAAACCGGTCAAACCTCTTCAACCCTTTTAGGTCTTTCAACTTGTAAAAGAATTGCAATAAATTAAACATTATTATTGCAAAAGAACTTAATTTGACTGAAAGTCAAACTACTGTACACTCAATGTTCCACCTGGGAATTTCAGCAACAAAATATGTGATAAATGTCTTTAAAGTTGTTCGTCAAATCTGAATCAAGCGTTATGGTTAATTTAAAGAAAGATTATACATCGTGACATTCTTTTCGCAGAAACCCTGCAGTACGTAATGAGCACATTTTCATTTTAATTAACCCCTTAGGGAGTCTCTTACCATCTGTTCTTACCATTTTCATTTTTTTCCCGGGAATACGGTTTACAGAGAAACATTTTTTTTTGTATTGTAAACATTCGTTACCTTTTTTTAGAGGGACATCTTGGATATTTTTGCGCTCCGTGTTTGTGGACAAAGTATTTTGGTAAAAAAAAAGATGTCTGCACGGTGCTTTGTCTGAAACCTTTGATAATAGCTGGAACAGTGGGAATGTTTCGAAATGCCATACCAGCCTGGGGCAGTTGTGTACTCTTCAATTTGATTCTGCTGTACAACTGAGCAGAGAGTGATAAAGTTCATTCAGCATCTGGAAAACATTGGCTCACAGGCAGAAAGTGACTTGCTCAGCAATAATTTTTTTTATTCCCTGGCAATGCCCTTCATTTATCATTTATGTTGCTCTTTGTTCTCTGTGAGGTACAGTAGTATATCCAATGGTTTTGCTTTTTGAAATTTTATTGTGCCAATGAACAAAAGTGTCTAAGCAACCAGAGGTTTTCGGTCAACAAGAACTACAAGTTCTAATGCAAACATATTGCGGGTTTATTAACCCATGAATTTATTGAACATCAAGGCAGACAGAGTAACAAACGTTACCTGTTAAAGGTTATTATTTTTTCAATAAGATGTGAAAAGGCTTATTCTAATACAGCATGGAATAAAGCAACAAGACTCACACATTTACAATAATTTTGTGACCTGGAAT